CGTCGACGAACAATCAAAGAAGAAATCAATTTTTCTCACATTTTCCCACATGCGAAGTTTTCTTTTCCAACATGAATCCTTTTTCGACCATCCTAGTTCCTTATCCGACCACCCCTAACTCACTATCTCTCTCTCTGTCTGTCTATCTATCAATCTATCTATCTCTATCTCTCTGTCACCCGCCAGAAAGACAAAAAGAAGAAAAACTAAAAAAAGAATCGAAAAATAAATCCAAAGTTAAATTAGCCAAAAAATTAGCTAAGCTGCTAAAAGAAATAAAAATAAACTTATATATATTTGATGCAAAAAATGCTAACATTGTCTGAAAATAAAAAAAAAACCATCCGGCATTTTAAAGAAACCCTCACGAAAAAATACCAAGTTTATACCAAAAAAAAAAAATTCAAAATCCAAAAATACCAAAATGAGAAATTACGCAAAATTGAGAGGCAAAATTCAATTCAATAAAAAAAACTCGTTGTCCTTGGGCTAATGCGACGTTTTCTGACTTTCTTCCCCCCAAAAAATTGTCGTCAGGTAAACTGACGACAAATGCTTCTTCAACTTCAACAACAACTCCAACAATAAACAACAACAACAACAACTTGATAACCAACTCCAACATTGTACCAACAAACAACAACAACTACTCAACAAAAACTCCATCACCAACAACTTTTACAACAACAACTTATACAAACTACACCAACAACAACCGTACAACAACAACAACAACTCGACAATTACAACAACAACTATCGACAGGCATTACAAATGCCTCTAGCATCTGTGGCCTTAATCTCTCCACATTCGCCTCCAATGGAAATGGTGGTAGCAGCAACAACAACAACAACAATAACAACAATGGCGGCGGTAATGGTGGCAGCAATGGCGGCAACGGTCTATCCGTCACCGCCTTGCGTCCAAACCAACAACAACAACAACAACAATCGTCACAAAATACCAGTGGCGGTAGCCAAACACCAAATGGCGGTATCCTTAGCTGTAGCACAACCCCCACAAATACACCAACAACACAACAACAAATGCTGGCCGCAGTTATGGCCAATATGGCGGCCGCTTCCGCTTCGGCATCGGCATCGACGAGCGGTAGTGCCAATAGTTCATTGAACAATTCCAGTCTCAACACCAGTCTAAATACCAGTCTGAATGCCTCGGGCGGTAATAGTGGAGCCGCCAGTGGAGGGGATGACTTCCGGTGCAATCCGTGCAACAAGAACCTCAGCTCGCTGACGCGATTGAAGCGCCACATTCAGAACGTACATATGCGACCCACCAAGGAGCCGGTGTGCAACATCTGTAAGCGGGTCTACAGTTCGTTGAACAGTCTGCGCAACCACAAGAGCATCTATCATCGCAATCTGAAGCAACCGAAACAGGAGCCGGGAGTTGGAAATGTGGATGTGACCAATCAATCGACGACCAATAGCTTCTACCATCAACAGCACCAGCAGCAGCAACTGAATCATCACTCGTCCTCCTAGGGCTTCATGTACTTCGATTATCAGCATGGCGTGGAGGCGCGACGGCATGGTGGTTACTCCAGTTGAGGGGGAATGCCACAAATCGAATGGGGATAGCGGCGGGATCATCTTGTTAAGTTTGCCACACGGGCATCGATTGTAAAGGACAGGAAATATAAATAGGGTTTTAGGGAAAAGCAGCGATAGTTATCGATAAAATCGATAGGCAAGGTTATCACGAAAGCTACAACCGTACATATCGATTTAATCGATATATACCAAGTATTTAGAATTTTTGGAATAAAGTCTGTCAACAAAAGAATCGATAATAATCGATAATATCTCTGGTTTTCCCCTACAGAAACAGCTCTATATAGAAAAAAAGAAGAAAAAAATACCATACACACACTACAGTACAGTCTAGGCTAGTTACAATTAGTTGCCTTTAGTAGTTGCTAAGCACACACTTACACACCCACACCAGGATACACAGTTTATACAAAATAAAATCGATAGAAGTAGATCCCAAAAAAAAATTAAAATAAGAGAAAAAAAAAGTCTCCGAAACATAAGAGCACTCTAAATCACATCCACTCTTAATTCTTTTCCCCACACAGAAAACCACTTTATCAGCTAATCAAGTCTTAATACCGATAAGTAGGAGCCTAGATTAAGAGCAGAGCGGTGCCCGTAGTGAATTCTTCGAAATGGCTTTAACTAAATACAATTTATCACGATAAAAGCAATGCGTATTCTATATAGGCACAAACAATAGAGGATATTATCTCTCTTAACACTCTAAATAAAGACCAAGATAAAAGTTTTTTTTTTTTTTTATTGTAAAACCATTGCATATAAAATTATATAAAAATATATATATATGATGTTACAATTTATAGATTTAAGAGAAAAAAATAAATAAAAAGAGATATAAGGAAGGGGAGCGACCGACCGAACGACCGACCAATTGCAAAGATCTTTTCGATAATAAATATATATATATATCTTATTACGGATTCTGATTAGTTAGAATTAAGTACACACACACATTAGCACACCACATATTAAAATCACGATGCATATGTCTTAGGTTAAGAATAAAAAACATTAAAATGTCCTAATTATAGTTAAACATTTTTTTTGTTTAAATTTTAACAATTTTTTTGTATATTTAATGTTAGTTATGCGAATGTTTTGACCGGATACTTTGATGAGTACACCTGTGTTCGTTAATTATTAGTGCTGCTAAGTAAAGATACAGATATTATCTTTAAGACAAAATACATATATATATCTATATATATATATATATACAAACACAAATTCACAAAATCACACTCACACACAAAAAAAAACATAAAAAAAACCAATGTAAGATATGAAGCGATGATTGAGGTATTGTGCGAAGAACTCCACTTACGATTCTAATTCAATTCATGATAATTACAATAAACGTATACACATCAAAGCGAATATTTCATTTTTCCACAAAAAAAAAAAACAGATAATAGAAAATCTGAAACCAGAGTCTCCCCCCAAAAGATCCCCCAAGAAAACCTGTAAATGAAAACCTCGGTGTTGTATGCATGTCATTCGAGGCGTCAGTCGATCTGAAAAAAAAAATAGAAAAGAAAAACTAACCAAAAACATCCCAGGATCTATCCAGAACAGGAGTCGATGATTCCGCTGGGAAGCATCTGGGATTCATTCGTGTTTCATCCAGGATTCATTTCACCAAACATCATGCACTCGATCACACCCACCAAACACACACATATTTATATTTAATATAAAGCTAGACTGGCTCTGTTCCATAGAATTTGATTCATTTTCCCAAAAGATATGTGTGCCGAACCGAAACCTTTTACTTTAAGCCAAGTTTTCTCCCCCCCAAAAAGCAGTTGAAAAAAAAAACTACTAATATCCACCCATCACCCACCCACCCACAATCACCACAACAACCACTCCACCACGACCTTGATTTTTTTAGCTAAGTAACTGGGTTCCCTTACGACCATTGAGAGGTGTCCCGATCTCCCCGAAAAAAATCAAATTATAATCCCCTTGACCTTGATTGAAAATTGGATGAAACCCGCTGTGTGTGACCTTGCAACCAACCCGCCTCCCCCCTCCCCTCGCACGTTAATCAAATTCTAATCGATACTTCCCCCCCAAAAAGAAACCTAATCCAAAAAATCCGATCCACCCGAAAAATTTTTTAAAATTTAAATCCAAACCCAATCGAACCCAACACAGGCAACGGTGCTGCGATTGAGTTTGAGAGAAAAAAAAAAAAAGAGACACTAGTGACAAACAGCAAGAAAAAATTGACAACTTGCAAGTAAACCAAATAGAAAAACAAAATAACTAAAAAAAAAAAGAAAAAATCAAAATAATACTAAACATTTTATATATACAACAAATCAATCAGGCCAAACATGCTTCAAAATTTTGCTAAACTTAACAAAAACAATAAGAACAAATTTTTTTAAAATTGAGAAATCGTACGAAATTGAAAATTGAACGCAAACTGAATTGGAATTGAAGACGAAATTGAAAACAAAAAACTCCACAAATTGGTTTTAAAATAACAACAAAATTATCCACGAAATTCGTGACGAAATTCTACCAAACAATGATCACTTCAAAAATTATCAATTAAAATTACCAATTGACACCACAAAATTATGAAACAAGTTTTCCAACGAGTTTATGATCCCCAAGCTTGGCAATTATGAATGTGGCAACCCTGCAGTTGTAGTTATAAAAAAAAAATTGCAACTGCAACTGTCAACATTTTTGTTTTGTTTTGTGGGGCATCATGCTCATCATTTCCAATTCGAATTTGTGTCGTCCCCACAAGTCAGCTGCTGCCAGAATTTCCAATTTGAGTTCAACAACAATTCACCACAGAATACAACTACAACAACAACAACAACAGCTACAGCTAAAGCTACAGCAACAATAACAACAGTCAACCAACAGTTTTATTTCCATTTTATTTCCATGCGTTTTAAAAAAAACCAAAAAAAAAAATTAAGAAACCCAAAAAATTGAAATCAAAAATATTTTTGAGAAAAATTACAAAATTTTTCCCCAAAACCAAAAAAAATACCAAATCGAAAAGCATAAAAGTTTGAAAGCAAAAAGTTAGCAAATTTAGAGAAGAATTTTACATTGTTTTGAGCCTGGATTTGTTAGTGTTATAAAAGTTAAACAAAAAAATAAGAAAAAGACAAAAAAAAACAAAACCATAACAAGACAAACAGAAATTCCAACAATTACACCAACAGACATACTTGACATACTAACAACATTACAACAAAAAAACAAACATGACACCGACATGACTTAACCTCACAAAACAAAACTAAAAAACAAAGAAAAACAAAAAACAAAGAAAGAAAAAAAATACCAAAAAAAAAAATACCAAAAAAAAATAATAACAACAAAGTCAAATATACAGAAAAGTCACTATTGTCTCTTTTTTTCTTCTCTTCCTATATGACCGTATAGGTGGCAGCACCGGCAGCCTACTCGGCGGCGTCATAGTGCCCGGTGGCGGTACTAGTACCCCTAGCAATAGTAGTAGCACCAACAACAACAACAACCAACCAACAAGCCAAGCAGTAGACCAACAACAACAATCATCACCACACCATCACCAACAACAACAACAACAACAACTCCACCACCAACAACAACATCATTCCACAACACATTCTAAACTAGGCAGTCCACAGTTGAAACAGGAGCAAAGCAGCAACAACAACAACAATAATAACAACAACAATAGTAGCAGTGGCAAGGGGCAGGATATGCTACAACAACAACAACAACAGAAAAGCTCTAAGTCCAGTGATATGATTGGAAGTGAAAGAAGTTTATCGCGATCCTCTCAAGGACTAGGAGATAGTGCCACGCCCTCGCCTTCACCCAACGCCCATTATATCAAGAGGGAGCGAGAAAGGGAGAGGGAGCGAGAAAGGGAGAGGGAACGCGAGCGAGAGCGGGAGAGAGAACGAGATCATGATATGGATCAGCATCAACGATCGACATCCTCGCCGCCGCCACCGCCCTCGCATCACGCCCACTTTGGGCAACATCCCCTGTCGTTGCTGCCCAGCCACCATCAGTTGCATGCCACACACCATGATCTGAGCGCTGCCGCTGCGGCCGCCCACCATGCACACGCCGCCCACGCCCATGCCGCCCATGCGCACGCCCTGGCCCGGGCGGGTTCACCGCTGGAGCACCACCATCTGTTGCATCATCGCCGCTCCTCGCTCTCGCCCTCATCGGCTGTGGGCGGGGGTGGTGGTGGCGGCGGTGGGGGCGGCCAGGGTGGTGGCGGATCGCGTGGTGGCGGTGGACCAACGGCCGCTGCAGCCGCCAGCCTGCTGTCATCGGTGCGGGCACAGGACGTGGCCCAGGCCAATAGGCTCCTGTTGCCGTTGCCACTGAACGCGTGCCATAGATGCGATGTGTGCGGCAAGTTGCTGAGCACCAAGCTGACCCTGAAGCGCCACAAAGAGCAACAGCACCTCCAGCCCCTCAACAATGCCGTGTGCAACCTGTGCCACAAGGTCTTCCGCACCCTGAACTCCCTGAACAACCACAAGAGTATCTACCATCGGCGCCAGAAGAACCATCACTCGTACTTCCATCATGGCGGCGGGGTGGGGCAAGCCGGGAGCCCCGGCAGCCGGTTGCATCAATCGCTGAGTTCGCTGAGTGCCGCGGCCGCTGCCGCCAATAGCGGTGTGGGCAGTGTGGGTGGGGCGGGCGCCGGTGGCGGTAATGCTGTGGCAGCGGCTGCTGCTGCTGCCGCCGCGGCCGCCGAACTATTATTATCGCCGATTGTGGGAGCCGCTGCTGTTGCGGGCGGCACGGCCAGTTCAACGTTGCAACTGGCGGCGGTGCATCAGCAGCAACAGCAACAACAGCAGCAACATGCTGCAGCAGCAGCAGCAGCAGCGGCAGCCGTACAACAACAACAACAGCAACAGCAACAACAACAACAACAGCAGCAACAATCCTCACCGGGAATTGTGAAACCCTGTATGGACTTCTTATAAGATCAGCAGCAACTCTTGCAGCAACTGTTCCATGTGGCACTCAACAATTCCGCAGCAGCAGCAGCAGCGGCAGCGGCGGCAGCAGCAGCAGCGGGTCCTGGCCCCGGAACAGAGGCAGTGGGAGCTGGCAATAATAATCATGGTAACAACGGTGGAGGATCTGGAGGAGGAGTTGGTGGAGTTGGTGGCTTAGTTGGTGCCGGTGGGGATTATGGCGGTAGTTCGGGTAGCGGCACACCCACAGTGGACTTGACCCAATTGGAGCATTCGGCGGGACATCATTTGCAGCATCATTTGCCGCAACATTTGTTGCATCAACATCCGGCACTGCCGCATCCCCATCAGTTGGGTGGGCATCCGCATTCCCATCCGCATTCGCATTCGCATGGACATCCGCATCATCAGCAGCATCCCTACGAACGCATGAATTTATTAGACCAATAAGCAAGGCGATATACACACACACACACACACACACGTGAAGGATCAAAAAAGGATCAAAAAAAGGATAAAGAAAAAGGACAAGAAGGATAAGGAGCAGAACCGACCGATCGATAACCGAGAAGGAGCATAAAGCATTTAGGATAAAAGGATACACTTGTAATATATAATATTGATAAATGTCGATAATAATTGATAAATATCGAGCATATATCGATCAACCATCGATATCGATATTTTTTTTTTTGGGATCTCACAGAGCGGAAAATTCAAAGACTTTTTCGGCCAGAACAAAAATAAAATAAAAAGAAAATGGAAATGAAAAACAAAAAACAAAAGAAACATCGAGAAACTGAAAAAAGCTAAAAATGCTTAAGTGAAAGCGAAAGAGAAAGGAGAGAAGAGGACAAGAAGACAAAAAGAAAAACATTTTTAGGCAAATGGAAAAACTGTGATTATTTACGACTTGATTATAAAGCAAGCAAAAACAAAAGTCTTTTACGATAAAGCTAAACATTATAAAAAAAAATTTAAAAAATAAACTAAAAAAAAACAAAGAAAAAGAAAAAATACACTGTAACACTCCCACTAAGAATTAAACAGGTGGCACCGGAATCCAACTCGTAACACATAAGCATAATTTTTTTTTTTAAATAAATCGCCATGCGTAGATTGGATAGAGTTTGTCAGAGTTTAGTAGAACTAGGCTAGGAGAAAAGTGAACCTGGCCAGAAGCAAGCTTTAGAGCCAGGCTAGAAGACTGTTACAAACAAACAAACACACACACACAGACAACACACTTGTATGATTTTTAGTGTGTGGTCCTTGACGAAAAAAAAAAACGTAAAAATTCCTCTTTCAAAGTAAGAACAAAAAAATATAACTCATACGACCTGTTGGCCAGCCACACGGCGTATGAGTAATAAACCTAAATTTACTTATTTTTTTTTTTTATTTTTTGTGTAGAAAAAAGTTAACATATGGCCTTAAAATACAAAATTGTCATACAATCTAAGGACTGCACTCTAATATCATCATTAGATCATTATTCATTACAACATCCATGAGTATTACAAGGCATTCTCATCCTTCAATCATCATCCAACAATCCAATATGTGGATGCAGCAGGATCCCACTGAATCTGAATCTGAATTTGAATTTGAATCTAAATACAAAATATGTGCAATTCGCCATCTCTGTACAGACTTTCCATTTTTCGCACATCAATCCAAATAATAATAAAAAATAATAAAAGTAAAAAAAACTCTAAACAAAAAATAGAATGACATACAACTAATGCATTTTTTTTTTTGTTTTTTTTTTTCTCGTGTATCATAGTAAGATATCAGAAATACTATATATATTAAAAGCATACATATGTGTATATTTAGCAGCCACTTAATATTCATCAAATGAGTAGCAAGGTCAAATGTAAAAAAAATAACTAAAAACCTTAAAAGATAGCCATAGCCTAGGCTTAAGCGATAAAACAGTGTGTGTGTAATATTTAAAAATATATATTTTTTTTTGATAAATATTATTAATTTATCTACAATTGCGAAAGATCACCACACACACATTTATATACATCTATAAATACACAGTACGATATATATATAACTAAGACTATGACTCAGCATAACTCGGCAAACACAGCGATATATATATATCGATAGTTATCGATACGGAAAGATATTTCATTTGGACTGTACTGTACATACAAGAAAACTTATAAGGTGAGAGGAGAGGGCAGGGTTTCTTTCGGAGAGGATATGCGGACCAGGACTGACTAGTTATAAACATTCGATGATAATAATCGAAAAACAAATCGATAAAACAACTGAAATTGAAACAATGAAATTGTTGCAGTCCTCAGTTGACAATTGCTGCTTAATATTATTCCTTTCCAATTGGCAGACGATGACGGATAATCAAAATTAGATGATTTACTATATACTTTGCATAATTAAACGTTGCATTAATTTAAAGACTGACCTTTAGAAGTGAAGAAAAAGAAAAAAAGAATAGGAAGAGTACACCGAACCGATATGGAACCGCGTGCAATTTGCAACTTGGGATTTGATTTGGAGAGAGGGTATATATTATATTATATATATAGAAGAAAGCGATTGAGATCAGTGGCATATAGCCTTTTAGTTTAAAGCCCAGCCCAGGGGGGGGGCATCTTTACATGCCCGTGGAACGAAATGATATAAGGAGGGGATTACGTTGTGTGCGCGAGTATAGTCGAATTTTATTTTTTATACAAAACCTATATTGTAATTACCACTTAGTGTAACTAAGCAAGCAAAATTCCTTCAATACCCCTTAACCCACAACAAAAAAAAGAAAACCCATTGTATTGTATTTTTTCTTGCTTCTTTTGGCAAACGAAAAGTCTGAAGTGTTGATTAAGTTAATCACCCACGTTTTGATACCAAATTTTCGATTTACCACATAGCTTATGCACCATAAAAAATGAAAAAAAAAATAAAATGTAATGAAATAATGTCGAGAATAATGTAATATTGTAACTTTAACTATAAGGAGACCCTCTCTCGTCTGAAAAACAAAACAAAAGAAATGCCATATATCGTATATAAAATATTAAATATTAAAATGTACCCGAGTGCTGTCCTCTCAGCTCGCCGGCGGCCTTTGTTAACCCGCAATGTCACCTACATATATTATTATTTTTTTTTTTAAACCTATGATTATAAATGATTATGTTCAATAAATGTGGAAATGTAAATGTAAAATGAAAGAAACTGAGAAAAATACTGAGAAAACAAAAAAAATCGATAACGAGTCACGTGGAGAGAAGATGTCGCAGCTTTGCACCTTAATGTTGTTTACGTAAAATCTTATACTACTAACAGACAACGCAGATAAATGATAATAGATCACCGATTACCGATCACTGGTCACAGATCATCGATCACAAATCATCGATTACCGATCACCGATCACCGATCATTGATAACAGTTCACAGCCCCCCCTCAAGAGTGTGCATCATGTGAGTACATAGACGCAGGATAACTAAATAAAAAACCAAACTCAAGCAACTAACTGAGGAGCTAACCAAACTACTAACTAACTAATAGCATATTGATACTCGAAAATAGCAGCAGTAAGAGCCCGAAATAAAAAACAACAAAAAAAAAAAAATAAAAAAAAACTCAATTACAGAATACCGATAACAGAATACCGATTACCGATTACCGTTTAAACAAATACCGATTAATCAATAGTAGGTTCGCCTGTTTAACGTGTGTACTATGACTATGTTTATCCTTTTTTCCTATTCTAGATGTTCCCAAATCTCCCAAAAAAAAAAAACATTAAAAAAAATAAAAATAAAATCCCCCTCCTCCATTTTCCCAAGTGAATGTAATGCATACTGAACCGTATTATCCAATGAACCATTAGCTCCAAGCCACATAAAGCTTAACAATTACAATTTTACATTAACGACTACAATTACAATTTACAATACGCGATATATAAGAAATAAACTAACTGCAGTAACTACATGGATATACAATACATACATAAGTCAAATAGCCAATCCGAGGATACAAGAGGACGATAAGAATATGGGGGAGGGTTATAAAGGGTTATATCCTCGACTAAACCCCGTATTCAATCGAAATATGCATAGAAATAGACAAGATACCGATACCGAGAAACAGAATCAAAGTCACCAACAACCAATACAATACCAATTTATCTCATCTAGTTGCAAAAACACTCACACGTACACACTGACGCTTACATACTTATAGCGATAGAAATAAATCCCATAAATCAAAATCCCCCATTAATCCTAAACCTTCCACACCTCTCTAGCCCCCCACAGAAGCCATAAATCGATCCAAGATCGTACCCGAAATAGTAACAAGTTTTAAACGTTTTACTTTGGCGACTCCAACTCGAACACGAACTCAAGAACTAAAACGAACAAAAAAAAGCAAAAATTACAAATTTAAAATGAAAAAACAAAAAAAATACAAAACGAATACAATAAAACTATTAAGTTTTCCACTCTAGCCTAGTAAGAAAATGTACATTTTGTCTCCTGTACGTACACTTGTATATAAGCAAGGTGCCAGCACTAGAACTACTTTATCCCCCAAAAAAGAATCCCCCACATCCACAGCAAATCAAACCACACTTTACATATATATTTCTATATATATGCAAAGCCACAACAACAAAAAAATAAGATAAAAATGAGAAAAAAAAAACAGTTTAAATAATTACTAATTTTTATGTATTTGTGTATTAGAAAAACCAATACTAAAATGATACAAAAAAAAAGTAAAACCATACCGTTCCGAATAAAAAGTCCCATTTATTTCCATAAATCATAAATTTCATTAATGATCGGAAGGAATATATTAACAAGAAACATCAATCACAATCCAGACACACTCACTACACTACAGAAGGAAAATGAAGTATTTTCATAAAAATTAAAAGAAAAAAAAAAAAGAAAATAAGAAAACCAACTGATATCGTGTTATTATTTAAATAAATAGAATGTATATAAGTGAAAAAATTGTATGTGCCGAGGATTTCTTTCTTAAGCGTCTCTTTGCCCCAAAAGGGTTTGGGTTTATGGAAATGGGTTGATCGTTAATCGTTTATCGTTTAATCGATAATGTGTGTGCCTTTGCCGCTGTGTGTGTGTGTCTCCACCCTCCTGGTTTCATCCAGTTTTGACCCAACCCTGCTCTCTGCTTCATCGCCTCAGTGTTGTCCTTGTTGATCATCGGGCCTAACCTAACAAAGATCGCCGTATATTAACACACAAAAGAAAATCCCCACCACGATCCAGCACTCCAGTCTCCTTCACCAACACCCCACTCCACTAAATTCACCACCGATAACAGATAACCGATAGTTGTAACCGTTAACCTGTCTGTCAGTCGATAACACGGGCCAGTCCATCGCCATTTTATGCCATCTCCAATTGTGATGGTTCTGCTCCACCACAAGAATATCCTTAAAAACACCAATCGAAATGCCACTCGGATATATCTATATAATTTATAATTTTTTATATGTATCTATATATGTAATGTTATAATTAATGTCCTTGCCATCACCATAAAATACCACTCACGAATATATCAGCCGCTATATCCATATATATTCGTGTGTGGTTATCGCATTCATACAGAACCAAATCAGAATAAAAATCAGAAACCCAATATATATATAAATATATAATCAACTTCAGACCAGAGACATATTTTTCCTCCCCCCTCCCCCCAAACACTCATTTCTTAGCTTAAGAACGGTTGTTGCCCACACGATATAAGGTCCTATCTCTCTTTTTTGAATCAAGTAATTGATTGACTAAAAAAAATACCAAAACCAAAAAAAGTACCACAACCATTATCCAAAATCCAACACTCCACTACCAATTTGCAGGAAACTCGCCCAAGAAACTCTTCTCATGCCAGCTGTGCGGTAAGCTCCTCTGCTCGAAAGCCTCGCTCAAGCGTCACATTGCCGACAAGCATGCTGTGCGCCAAGAGGAGTATCGTTGCGCCATCTGTGAGCGGGTCTACTGTTCCCGCAACTCCCTAATGACGCACATTTACACCTACCACAAGTCCCGGCCCGGCGAAATGGAAATGAAGGACATCAAGCTCTACAATCAATTCAACTCGTCAATCTGAGACCATCTTGCCACGCCCTTGCCGGCTTGCCCGAGCAGCGTGCCACATTCGAACCACAATCATCCGCCACAAGCACAGACATCGATGAAAAAATTTAACTCCTCCATGACCATGACCACAACAGCACCGAACTTGAACACAAATACTAAACTAGACCATGACTTTGGGAAAAGACCAACGAATTTGGTGAATGATCAATACCAATTGATGATACAACAGCGTCAGATAATGACACTATATGATTACTACCTCTATCAACGGACGGGACATAGCAGCCAATCTTCGATTGCCACAACGAGCAACTAGAAACTAGCAACTAGGGACCTCTAAAACACTAGAACTCAAAACTTAAAGCAATGCCATTACG